GACATGCATAGGATTGCACTGTAAGGCTTTCCTGAAGTAAACTGAGTTGATTCTGTAATTAGGTTTCTAATTATCATGGTTGAAACTAGACCAAGATTACTTGGAAAACCTCAGAGATTACGAAGTAGTAAGAAGAGGTGTTGCAGTTATAGCTGGGAAATGTGTGTGTACCCACAGCCCCACTGTGGAATGAGCAGAATGGCATCTATGTTGGGAGAGCAAGGGCTGTTAAGGACAGTTCTCCACCTTAGTTACTTTGGTGTATATTTCATCTGACATTAGTGTTGGAGCCGGGCCATAGTTGATGGTAAGCAGGAAAGTGGAAGGAAAACTGCCACGCTCGGTTACATCTCGAGGATTTTTAAGGAAGTTACGTTATGCTGAATTTAAATTCATGCTGAAATTTTGTTAAAAAATAGGCAATGCCCCATAAGTGATTAGTGAAAACTCTGTTGCAGTTTAAAATGTTGAATTTAATGCCTTGATTCAAAGATTGTTCAACAAAACCTTGCTGAATTTTGTAAACTTTCAGTCTGTGTTACCTGTTTGTAGCATGCTAGAGACCTGAATTTCTGAAAGTACAGCAAATCTAATCTTTACTGAACTCTTAAACATAAGGATGAACATAGATGAAACATTGATGCCTTGGTCTTACTGTACTAACTTAAAAAAGATTATTACTTTTACAATGTAAAATACATTTAAAATAAAAACTTACAATTAAAATTATAATATACAAAATTAAACATACAATTAAAATAAATTGTGAAAGACAGTCTGCATCCCATCACCAGGAATATTGGATACATGTTAAAAACTCTTTCAAATGTTCTTTAAAGAAGCTTCATCCCCCTCCCAAACTTGTAATGACTCCTGTGAAGATTCAAAGTCTTTCCCTTTTGTTAACACATAATCAACAAATAAACCCCAAATCTGATAAATTAATATCACAAGTTAAAATAATCTTACTGTACTAACAAAACTGTCTAGTTACAGGACAGATGTTCACTCTTTAAAACCATGTTTATTTCACTGACAATTGCCATAGTTAACATCAGAGGGCTGGATTCTGTTTCGTCATACCAACAATCAACCCACTGAAATCAACAGAGTTTAAGACAGCCACTATTGATTCAAATCTCTTTTATTTCAGTGTGTCTACCCTCAATACAACTACATCTGGATTCAATGTGTGGCACTGATTTAAGCAACAATTAAAATAATTTATCACAAATAAAGTCTGAGAGAAATGTGATTCAAATTCATAATTTCCTAAATCTATCCCAGCTGATTCACATTACTGTCCATTCCCTTGCCTCTCTTTCTTCCTACCATCATGTGACCAAATTCCCACCACCAGTCCAATTATTTCGTGCTCTTGCCCACACACTCTCCTACTTACCTTAACATTGTCTGCACCAGGCAATTTTCTTGCAGCCCTACTCCAAACAGAAACAACAAAACTGGTTCATGTCCCTCTGTGCTTTATTCTTGAACTAGGAATATTAAAAAAAACCACAGTGGCCAATCAGCTGCCTGTAGGAAACCCACGATACCTGCTTCTTCTTTGTTCACTGGTGTTCTTGCCCACCTGCAGACCTGTTCATTCTTGAACAGCTGTGACCAACCTTTTAGGACCTAAGAAAAAGTGACACAGGGCATCATGGATATACAATAGTCCCTAGCCACTCCATTTGAGTGCTTGACCATTCTGTTGCTCTGTGTTGACACGACTTTTTATTCAGGTCCCATACAGCTGATACTTTGTCCTTTGAGTTAATTCATATTGGTTGCAGCAATGGCCATATGGAAGAAAGTCGATTTGGATTCTCACCCTAACTAGTAGATGGTTATTTATTTATTTTGATTTTCATATACTGCCCCATTTCCATAGGCTCTGGGCAGTTTACTAGTTTATACGTATTTGTAGATTTGAAACAATGTAATCCATGCCATACCTTTGTGAATCATTGGGACCAACATCTTCACCCATTCATCCCTGTCTTGTCCATTGAGCAAGCCCTCCAAGCAGCACTATTAGAGCTCTTCTCTACTTTCAAATGTGTCATAATAGTTGGGCAGGATCCAACCACAGCTAAGTTTATCTAACATAGTCCTAATCTACACAAATAGGGGGCTGAAGCTGAAAAATGCTGAGCTGGTAGAACCTTGCAAATACAAAATAAGTACTGCAGGGACAAAGGTTCCCTCTTAGTTCATTGTTGGCTATGCTAGTTTTCACTTTATAAGGAAGTAGGAGAATGTGATTACCTGCCCATATTTCAAACTAGTACAGTCCACACTAGCACCTCAACACTCCATTACCTCATTCTTCTTCATGTCTAGATCAGGCCTTAAAGCCAAGCAAGGTTTGGCTAGGTGTGAAACATGTAGATGCATTTGTGTGTGTTTGATTGCAAAATGAAAATTGCAGTCATGGGGTTGGAGCTCATCGGGACTGGGACTGTGCTGCTAGGAGTGGCATTTAACATTTTCCTCCATGCGATAATGCCAGGAAAAAACATCCCCCAAAGCTGTTGACTCTGGTACTGAAACTCCCATTAGTGCCAACAGCTACTTCTCTCCCAGAGCAAATGGCACTTTGGGAATCTGTGGGCGAGATGGGAGGAAACTGTACAGCCCCCATTCCTCAATTTGACATTGCTCCCCTGAGTTACTATTTACATTTTGAAAACAGATATATGAAAATATATTCATGTATTTCAAGCATCAGCACACCAATGGGAAAGGTTTCAGTATTCCCACATGCAAGCTACTGTTCACTTGGCTTACTGCACCCCATATGTAGTAAACATCCAGCTCCCACATTTTCTAGCTCCTTTGCAAAAGCTATTCTTGCTCATGAAAGAGGAACAAAGGGTAGCATTTCAAAATCTAGTTGTTTTGTGGCTCTTGCTAGGTATACTATATTCATGATTTATTCATTTATTATTTATTATTTGCTATATTGCAGTCTCCATTTTTTATCTACACTGTGCTGGAATCTTTATCCTTTTGGAAGATGAACTACATATGTATTATTCTTTTATTTCCAAACTGTCCAATCTCTCAAGTTACCCAAGTGGCACTGAAAACCTGAGAGCCCGTGTGGTCAAGAGTGCCAGACTGGGATTCAAGCAATCAAGGTTCTAGTCCCCACTCAGTCATGGAGCTCACTGGGTGATTCTGGGCCAGTCACCCAGCCCAACTTCCCTTAAAGGGTGGTTGTTGCAAGGATAAGATTAAGAGGAGGAGGATAATTGTGTAAGCTGCCTTGAGTTCCTTGAAAGGAAAAAAGGAGAGATATAAATCTAATATATAAACAATAAAACTATAAATAAAAGTAGGATAAGATCAAACTGAGAAGAGATCAGCAGGAAAAGGAGCACAGCAGCACATAAAACTATAGGAAACTAGCAGCAATAAAAGTTCCCTGAGCTAAAACATTCATTTCTTTTTAGACAGAATAAATAAATAAGTATCCTCACCAGGTCAGGGTGTGTTTTTTGAAACATGCTGCAAACACCACTTTGATTCCATTTTCCCTTGTAAATGAAAATCAGGTATTAGCATACAATATCCTCACTGACCTTTCAAAAATACCTTTTCAACATTGTGTTTGGGCAAAAGCACCATTCTCTTGGAAGCAGTGGTTGAATGGCACAATTTTAATTCTAAGGGTGCACTGGTGCCTTTGCAAAAATACTGAGGGGGAAATATAAACACAAGCAATGGGGTAAAGGAACAGACACTGCAAGAATTATGCTTAGTGATGCAATGAATCCCAGGCTTGCTGGCACTTTTTAATTTGCAGTCATCCACACATACAAGCCCGACTTCCTTATTTCTTCTTAACTGCAATTCTTGCAGGACATGGGCGAGGGGGCGTTAATTTTCTTTGTAACAATGTATTGTCAGGGAAAGCATTTTGGGTGGCTTGGTCATGAATAGGCAACTAAACTTGACGAAAGACGTGTTCCTCGTGGAGAGGAAAAGACTAGAAATGGTTTGTCAATACTGCTCAAGGCGAAGATCTGGTTTGTTTGTTTTTTTCCCTGTATCTCTTCGGGGTGTGGGTGGCTGTGAGACATCCCGATGAGTGAGCGCCTGCACTTCACGACTGACCAGGCCACTACGGAGTGCGCTGCATGACGAAGGACAATAGGGAAAGTGCCTGAAGTGAAATTCATACACGATCAGCTTGGGTGGCCTGATCTACAGGCATCGTCTATCCCACAATGAAGCCGGTATGCCACTGGTTCTGGCTTAGAATGAGCCCCCTCTTTGGAAGGTCCATAAAAAAAGGCCTGTTCACACAGATCAAAGATCCATCAAGAGTGGGGCCAATATTATTCCCCCCCAAAGCTGCCATCTAGATGCCCCCGGAACAACAGGGCATGGATGCAAGAGCCCTTCCCAGTTCTTTGTCCCAGCATCTGACACGTGGAGACATGCACCCTCTGAACACGGAAGGGCTTCCAAGGAGAAAGCACCTTTCTCTCATCGTTCTGCAATTTGTCTGGTCCATTTATATCCCGCCTTTTCCTCCAGGGCAGCATGCGTGATCCTCCTCTCCATTTTCTCCACACAACATCCCTGGTCAGGTAAGTTAAGCCGAGAGTCAGTGATTGCCCCAAAGCCCCCAGGAAGCTTCAGCAGACCCGGCTCCCCACCTCCCCGGCACTCCTTCTGTACCAGATCCAAGTCCCTTGGACTGTATGCTAAGCACCCTCTTCCGGAAACCATCTTGGTTTCTTGATGCCAGTCAACCTTCGGCTCCTGGAAGGAGGCAGGACGTACTCCCAGGCGGCATTGCATTGGAACGAAACGCCCGAGGCGTGGGAAGAGCCGCAAGAGGGAAGCCGCAATGAAGGCTCCCAAGTCCCGGCGCGACTGGCTGACACGCCCAAGAGGTGTGGATCTTCTTCAAGTTTGCACAAACACCCCATGACCCGCCAAGCTGGCTCGTCACGTGACAAACTCGAAACATGAAACCCGACCGGGCGCTCGGGCAAGTTTTGCTTCTCCTAAAACGCACGCGAGCTCGCCTCCGTCGTGGTGCGCAGAGCGCGGTCTGAAGGGGGCCAGAAAGCCGTAGCGAAATCCCCCCCTCTCCGATCAACTGCTCACCTTCACCACACCACTGGAGGAACCAGGAAGCTGCACATGTTTTTCTGACTCCTATGCCACTTAAGCCCGAGGCAATCCCGAGAATGGACAAGTTCAATAAAATCACGGTGCCAGCAGGACAGAAGCTCAGGTACCTTCCTTCCTTTTTCTGCCGTTCCCCTTTTCGGTCTTCCCACTTTTACACAGAGTCTTGCCTTTAGCGTCGCTTCTTTCCTGCCACGCCGCAGGATCGAAAGCTGCTCGACAGAAGCAGAGGGGATAAACTTGTCTGAACAAGAGAATCGGGCCCTCGAGAGAGGAACCAACATAGATGTGAGGCTAACAAGCTTTCGAGTTACACAGGAGTCTGGTCAAATCGGAAATGAGTGAGCTCCGTGCGGCTGTCGTTTCCCAACCACCATTCCCGGAAGGGTTACTTGTGCTTTGATATGGCAGGTGAACATTTAATGAAGTGAATCTTTTCCCAAGACCAAGTCCCCAGGCTGGGAAATACTTCATCCGTTGAATGCCAGCCTGTCATTAGGTGCAGTTATCCAGCCAAACTCGGAAGTTTTACATCTGGACATGTAGGAACATATTCAGAACCAGTTTGGATACCTTATTTGCTTAACTAAGATATTCCTGTGAGTCGATGGTTTGCTGTGGACACTTTGGTGTGCAGTGAAGGATTATGGGCACCCTTCTTTTGTGCGGCCAGTACCACCTGTTTCGACCTGCTTTTCCTCTGGCCCACCTTAGGGACAACCAGGCATCAGTCAGAATGCTCCACAGGTACTCCACAGCTTGTAGAAGTCAGATTTGCAGAATGGGTGCATTAGTTCAACTCTGTATTCCACTTTTCTTGGAAATGGTCCGGCTGTCCAGCCAGCAGTCATAAAGGTGCATCTGGTGCTGCATTCATGCCTAGGTTTTCTGACTGTGTCTTTGTTGTGTGCCATCAAGTCACCTCCAACTTATCGCAACTCTATGAATGAAAGATCTCCAAAATATCCTGTCCCTACCATCCCATTCAGCTTTTCCAAACTCAGGCTGTGGCTTCCTCTATAGAGTCAGTCCATCTCTTGTTTGGTCTTCCTTTTCTTCTTCTACCTTTGCCCTTCCCCGGCATGACTATAGTCTCCAGTGAGTCTCGGATTCCCATGAAGTGTCCAAAGTATGACAGCCTCATTTTGTCCTTTCTGCTTCTAGGAAAAGCTCTGACTTTCTGCCTATGGGGCTGCCTTATGCTTAGCCATACAGGCAGGCTAAAAGCTGGCAAGGCCTGCTAGTGGCCACAAGTGAATCAACAGAAAGTGGGCATATACTAATACATAATGCATAGCACATTGATGTAAACTTAGAAATATGTATTAGAATTTAAAGCAAAATACAGAGCATCTCACCACAGTGTGAAAGAATCCGTGTGCCTGGTCAGTCTGCTGTCCATGTACTGTAGATGAGCAACTTCAAGGCTCAGCTCTTTCTTCTGATGGTTCTCTGTCCAACTTGGATTGGACAGCTCTTCCAATATTTTATATTGTTAACTTGTTTTATATTGTTAATTTATAGTATTTTAATTGATTTATTTGTGAGCCGCCCCAAGGCTTCGGCGAATGGGGTGGCATAGAAATTTTCTAAATAAATAAATAAGGAAGGTGCCTTCAAAATGGAGGGCAGTCCTCTGACATTAGAGGAAGATCCTCTGTAAAAGAGGATACATAGCCAACCTAGTGTCAGTTCCACCCTCACTAATTATATGCCCACAGATTATATAGCCACCTCCCCAGCCCTAGGGAAGTCTCTAGGACAAGTTTGTAACTCCACATACCTATGGTCCTTATTCTTCCCCTGCCCTTCTTTTCAGTCCCACCTGCCGAACTGTGATGGATATTTAACATCGCGATACCTTCGCAACCTTTAGAAGAGACAGCAAGAAAAACAAAAAAACATGCCTCACTCCAGCCAGTAAAGATGGCATAAAAATGGCTTTCCAAGCTCCAAATGATGGAACTGTGAAAACTTGGAGGGGTATCTCTATCTTATCCAGGGTGTATGGGCACCTTGTGATGAGTAGCACTTGTAACTCAGGCCAGGGTCTGCTGAGAAAAGCCTTATTTAGATGCATCTCAAATCTCCCCCAACCAAAATCTAACTATAGCTGAGAAGTTGCAGCTCTAATGAAAGTTCCTTCCTCCAACTTTTCTGATGACCAGAAACCTGGAAAATCACAGGACTCCTTATGTCTGAGGGAGCCACACTTCTGTGGGCATGACAATCACACACATACACCCTGGCACACTTTCACAGAAAGCTGGGAAGTGCCTGGGTTTTAACTGGTTCTTCTACTGAACTGCTTTTGTCTCCAACTGCAGGTGATTTCTACAGCCACAATGTCTCTTTAATTAGGGTTAGTCTAACTGGGCTAAATATGGGAGGTGCAATACTGCTAATGCTTCCTTTAGGGCACAGTCCAAGGGGGATGCCTGTAAGCCTTTGAAGATTACACAGAAGATTACAGGTGTCCTATACAGGGAACTATAATGGTTATGGAGGCAAAGATCATCTCTGCACTTCACCACTCTGTAAGTCAGTCTAACTGCTGTGCTTTGGACAGGGAAGGAGGCTGGAGTACCACCAGGATACATCCTGGTGACCCCACTCTCCTCCCTCCTGTCCCTGCCCCCTTCACCAAGGTTGATCTTATGATCTCAGAAATGCAGGTTCTTTCCATACCTGCTGTGATGAGGGGAGGTGATCTAACTATGGATTGCCAGTACGGAGTTCTTTTCCAGCCATAGAACTAGGATTCCAAAAAAATCTTGTGACCCTCTAGATAGAGTTTAGACTTTATAACTCATTCATATTTACAGAGGCATGCATTCTTTTAAATTATCTACCTGCTTCCTGGAATTAAAGCATGTGGTCAACACAAATTGATTTTCCATACCCTTTTGAGAGTTAAAATGCTAATATTACAACATTGGAAAGACAAAAGTAGAGTTGGAAGGGGCCGGGAAGGCCATTGAGTCCAACTCCCCTGCTATTTCAGGTCACCAATTTACACCATCCCACTCAGATGGCTGTCCATTTTCACCTTGAATGTCTCTAGTGTGAGAGAGCCAATGACCTTTCTAAGCAACTGGTTCCACTGTTGTATCGATCTGAGTGAGGAAACTTTTACTGATATCTAGGCTGAATCTGTGTTGCCACAACTTGAATGGATTATTCCATGTCCTATACTCTAGTATTAGTGAGAAGAGATCTTGACCTTCCACTTTTCCTATAAGCCTTTGAGGTACTTATAGAGGGATATCAAGTCCCTGCTTAATCTCTTCTCAGGGCTGAACATGCCTAGTATTCTTCTATAGATGCTACTCTTGAATAAATACTGCATGGATATTCAGTCTACCTTTGTTGAAGTGTATAATTAATACATTCAAATCTATGTCTAGCTGTTTCTTTTCCTGCCCCCAGTATGCCTGATGGCCTCACCTCCTATCCCAGTGCCTGTCCAGCTTAGCCCCACTGACTCCACACTTTTGGGAGTGCCTGAAAGGAGGTCTGGCTATACTTATGTAGATTCCTCCACTTGATCGCACAGAACCTTAGAGGAACAGAGGAGCACATGCCTTAGGAAATACATGGAAGAACGTACACAATTGCAGCTGGTTCCCCATGAAGACCTTAACTGACCATGTGGAAGACACAGGGGGAAGCAGGTAGGCACATGCAGCATCATGTGCAAGGCCAGCAACTCAGTCCTGCTTTCCTCAAATGTATTTACATGACTAATGTGAGGATAGGGCTAAGAACATGTGAAGGGCTCTGCTGGATCAAACCAAAGGACTTATCTAATCCAGCAACTTGTTCCCCCAGATGCCTATGGGATGCCTATAACCAGGACATGAGTGTGATAGCACCCTCCTGAATACCAATGGCTTTGCCATTGGTATTTTGAGACTTACTTACGAACACTGCTACTCTGCCCATGTGCTATTGTCCTGAGCTCATAGCTGTCCCCAAGTAGTTCTACGGGAACTATTAACCCAGCAAAGACCTGAACAAAATGGAGAACTCACATGCTGACTGTCCATGTTTCACCTGATGCAGCTGGGTGTTCCTCCTCATAAGAAAACCCTTGCTTATGAGTAGACCCTGGATGAAAGGGTCACTTGAAGCTAGGCAGGCACTCAATGGTTGCTTTTACTGTCCTACTTGGTCCACCATAATCACTACTCTGGTGAGCTATGGACAGAGGGAGGAGAGACTGGGATTTTATAAACAAGTACCTGTTTATCCTAATAACAAGCTTTACCCTTTTTACTTCAATAGAACTATTCATACTGAAAAAAATTATTTTGGTGACATTTCAAGATACGATTTTAAGCCTTGTTACGTAGAAGGAAGTCCCAATAAACTCAGTAGAGCTCACTTTCCAGTAAACAGGATTAGAACTTGGATGCTCAGCAACTACACATTCTAAGCCTTGTTTCCCACTGTATGTATCTGGTAGAAAAAGAATTTGGGGGAGAGGGTGCCCAAGTTCAGTTGCATACATGCCAGATGCAGGGGTGACAATACTGCAAGAATAGGGACATGAAGGTCATGGAAAGGAAAACCAGAGAGCTTGGGGGAAGAGAAAGTGAACAGGAAGAGCTGTGGGGTGAGAGGAAGTACTTTTCCCAGAACCTTAAATTTTCCCCCAGTGGAAAAATTAGAAAGGGGATTTAAAACCACTACTGTCTTATCACCAGGCAGAAACTGTCCTCTTTCGCATTTATTTCCAGACCTGATTGTAAGAACTCACTCTGCTAACCAATAGGTTTTCTCCCACTCCTTCCTGCACACTTATTATTGTACTGTTGACCTGTTTTTTAATGTTGTTAGTTGCTCAGAGGGTTATTCAGCAGACTATAAATTGAAAATAAATAAGAACACATCAAAAGTGTGTGTGTGTGGGTAAGCAGGGCTGCAATTCCATGCATGCATACCTAAGAGCAAGCTCCATTGAATTCAGTGGGACTTACATCTGAGCAGACATTAATAGAATTGAGCTGCCCACAGCATTTTACTACATCAAAATGATTTCTAGTATAACAGAGAGACAATCCACAGAGTAGTGTGTGCTGCCAACATGTATAACTCAGTTGT